ACATGCATTGATAATTAGTATTCAACTTAATATATTTGAGATTAGCCGGAGAAAATGAGCTAGAAGTGCTGAAAGCAAACGAGTTAGTAGGATATTGCAGCTATTAGAAGAAATTATCTAGAATCGTAATTTTTGTGACATGAAAGTAGCTAAAGGGTTTACGGATTTGACTACAGTTGAGATTATTCGACCTAATTTGTGCAAGTGAAAGAGAAGTGCTAATCAGATGTCTTCACTGTCAGCTTTTTTTGGTCTTCATTCGACTTATCAATTCGTTAGCAACAAAACTGCAACATGACAAATATGACAAAGAGCAGAATAATTGTAAAATGGAACGTTCTTGAATATATTCGATAAAAACCCCTATAATCGTTGATGCGCAATTTGTGCATCAAATTTACACTTTCAGAAACATCAGCGTCAACAACTGTCGAGTATATGATATAAATCACGAATGTCAACAAGAAGATATGATTCCCGAATACTTGAGGTGAGAGATAGTACGCATACGGTGATCACGGAAGGAAAGGAAGAGAGAGGGAAAACTTCCATTACGAACAGAACATTAAAGGGAAAGGAGTGATATAGTTTTCATCAAAAGTAAAAAAAAACTTGTGAGAATCTGTGGAGATTCATTCAGTAATCTGCAAATAGGAGAGAAATGGATTGAAATTGAAGAGATAGATGTCATCATGAGATGTCGCAGATGTCGAACTATTTGAGACTACAATATGAAAATAAAACAGTCAAAAGAATAGTGATTTGACTGTGATACTTTGCTGGGTTCTCTAGGATAAGACAATTAGCATTTGTTTTGCAGTATAAGCAATCAGTGCTACACTTTGAATGAAAAATTCTCGTCATAAGATCATGCGGCGGCTTTTTTATTTCTAAAATAATTTTACGAACTTCAGAAGTGTCAAATCAACTTCATGAATATTTTTGAATTTCAAAGTTGCAAGCATGAGAAATGGGTGGTTTTCAAGGAATATCTGGAGTGCTTGACTACTGTATGCCCTCACATGGAAAAAAATTCTGCCCCTCGCACAAACAATGTCTTGGGTCCATTTTTGTCTGGTGTAAGCTGACATAGTATATGATGTACCAGCTTAGTGGATTTTGAAACAAATTAAGCTTCACAAATGTACTATTCCACGATCGCATCTTCACGAATCGAATAGAATATAAAACTATCATCGTTTTCCAATTGATTTAGAATGTTAATACAAGGGCGCCGAATCTAATGCAGTTATGATGATGCAGAAGGTGCCGATTTATCAAATGAAGCAGTGATAAAAAGTAGGAATTCTCCATCATGCCTAGCTACTTATGCATGACAAAATTAATTTTGCACAATAAATTGCGTGATGTGACACTTGAGATATTGAGATAAGAATTAGAATTCATGAGAAATCAGAAGTCGAGCATAAAACGAAGAAAAATAACTGCCTTACCACTAAATATCTATCAAAACAATTAGCTGAATGTATTGTTTTGTGACTGGCTTCTTCTACTCGACGGGGGTAAGTGAAACTATCATTCATTTGGTTAATAGCAATCACATGATAACCGCGAAGCTAATGCATGAAAGTGCGAGCCCAGAGAAGTGTCAAAGGATGAAACGTCATTGTTTACCTTACCGCAAACATATTGTCTTCAGACTGGATCGGAGATTACCATAATAGAGGGAACACTCTTTTGCTTGCCGGTGAATGCAATGATCGCTGGTCCGACGTCAGCCAATACTTTGCCCTCTAGCCTTTGTCGCAGAGCCCACTGATAAGGCCAATCATCAAATTCTTAGCTTCCGCGATTTGCTATCTTTGCATGACTTTGCATTAGTAAGATTCTGCAGAGTAGCGTAAGTTAAGGATGATGATAACAATAGGTTACCGTGATAGCTGAAGCTACCGCACAAATATCCTTTTCTACCAATGTGTGCAATTGCACATTTTCTATGGGCACTGAAATGTATTCCTAAGTTAGATTGGCATGACATATAGTCACTCACCTTTAGACACATCCATATCTAAAAAGCAGGAAAACCGCATAAAA